ACCAAAAAATAAATTCTTTAGTGGCACCTGGTGGTTTAGTCTGACTCTTGATATCATCTCAGGTCATGGTCTCACAAACTGCTGACACCAAAGAGCCTGCTTAGGGTTCTCTTTCTACGCAGCCTCCCCCACCCCCCAGCCTCTCCTCTGTTCATGTGTGCACACATACACACACTCTCTCTCTCTCTCTCTCAAAATAAGTAAATAAACTTTAAAAATAAAATAAAATCTTTAAAAAAAAGGGCCTTAGCCTTCACTTTGTATTTTGTTTTGTTAAGTATTTGAAAACAATGAATTGTAACATAAGTAGCTACAAAGTGATAACTGTTTTTTTTGTTTTTGTTTTTGTGGACATGTGACTGATTGCATTTAACTTTTTGCTTTTCTGTTTCAAGTATAATTAACATACAGCGTTATATTAGTTTCAATATAATGTACTCAATTCTGTACATAACTTCATTGTTCATCACAGTAAGTGTACTCTTCGTTCCCTTCATCTATTTTCCCCATCCCAAGCCACCTCCCCTCTGGCAACTACCAGTTTTTTCTCTGTGTTTAAAAGTCTGTTCCTTTGTCTCTTTTTTCCTTTGTTCATTTGTTTTGTGTCTTAAATTCCACATATGAGTGAAATCATATGCTATTTGTCTTTCTCTGATTTCCATTAGCATTATTTCTCTAGGTCCATCCATGTTGTTGCAAATGGTACGATTTCATTCTTTTTTATGGGCTGAATTATATTCCATTTTAAATATATGTACACACACAAAACACACCACTTCTTTATCCATTCATTGATTGATGGACACTTGGGTCGCTTTCATAATTTGGCTATTATAAATAAAGCTGCAGTAAACATAGGGGTGCATATATCTTTTCAAGTTAGTATTTTTATTTTCTTTGAGTAAATACTCAGTAGTTAATTACTGGATCATATGGTAATTCTATTTTTAATTCCACAGTGGCTGCACCAGTCTGCATTCCTACCAAAAGTGCATACAGATTCCTTTTTCTCCACGCCCTTGACAACACTTGAGTTTTTTATTTTAGCCATTCTGATGAGTGTGAAGTATATTTCATAGTAGTTTTGATTTGCATTTCCCTGATGATGAATGTTGTTGAGTGTCTTTTTACGTGTCTGTTGGCCATCAGGATGTCTGCTTTGGAAAAATGAATATATCCTCTGCCCATTTTTTAATTGGGTTATTTGTGGGGGCTTGGTATTGAATTGTATATGTTCTTTATATATTTTGGATATTAACCACTTACTGGGTATGTCATTTACAAATATCTTCTCCCATTCAGTAGGTTGCCTTTTTGTTCTCTTGATGGTTTCCTTCACTTATATTACTCTCAAAAGTTTAATTTTGCATTTCTTTCCTTAGCCAGAAGAGACTTAGCTAGAAAAAAGTTTTTGTGGCTGATGTCAAAGACTTGCAGCCTAAGTTTTCTCCTAGGAATTTTATGGTTTCAGGTCTCACATTTAGGTCTTTAATCCATTTTGAGTTTATTTTTATGTATGATATGAGAAAGTGGTCTAGTTTCCTTCTTTTGCATGTAGCTGTTCAGTTTTCCCAGCACAATTTGTTAAAGAGACTGTCTTTTTCTCATTGCGTATTCTTGCCTCCTTTGTCAAAGATTAATTGTCCATAAAAGCATGAGTTTATTTCTGGACTTTGTATCCTGTTCCCTTGATCTATATGTCTACTTTTGTGCCAGGACCATACCGTTTTGATTACTGTAGTTTTGTAGTATATCTTGAAATCTGGGATTATGATACTTCCAGTTTTAGTCTTCTTTTTTATGATTGCGTTGGCTCTTCTCATTCTTTTGTGGTTCCATGCAAATTTTAGGATTATTCTGTGAAAAATGCTATTGGTATTTTTGAAAGGAAATGAATTAAATCTGTAGATTGCTTTGAGCAATATGGACTTTTTAACAATATTAGTTATCCCAATTCATGTTTATTTGTGTCATCTTCAATCTCTTTCATCAGTGTTCTATTGTTTTTGGAGTATAGATCTTTCACCAACTTGGTAGGTTTATTCCTAGATAGTTTACTCTTTTTTGGTATAGTTGTAAATGGGATTGTTTTTTTAATTTCTCTTTCTGCTACTTCATTGTTACTGTATAGAAATGCAACAGATTTCTGTAATTAATTTTGTATTACATGACTTTACTAAATTCATTTATCAGTTCGAGTAGTTTTTTGGTGGAGTCTTTAGGGCTTTCTGTATATCGTATCATGTCATCTGCAAACAAGGAAAGTTTTGCTTCTTCCTTACTAAATTGGATGCCTTTTATTTCTTTTTCTTATGTGACTGCTGTGGCAAGGACCTTCAGTACTATGTTGCATGCGAGTGGACATCTTTGTCTTGTTCCTGATCTTAGAGGAAAAGCTCTCAGCTCTTCACCATTGAGTATGATGTTAGCTGTAGGTTTTTCATACATGGCCTATTTTATGTTGAGGTGTGTTCCTTCTAAAGTGGTAACAGTTTTTATTGGTTTGTTACACAAGGTAGGCCCTGAATCCTCAGGAGACTTCAGTTGATAGGAACACAGAAGTGTTCATTTGCAGCACAAGTTAATGAAATGCAAAATTATTGAATATTACTTTTTTATCCTAACTTTAAGGTAATTAATTAAAGAAGATCAAATCACACGCTTACAGAATCCCAAAACTACATGGAACACTGAAAACCACTAATCATGCTTTATGTAATATTCTCTCTGTAGAAGGAGAGTAGAATTCTGACTGTTCTATTTACATTTTTTTTTAGAAAACTTGTTAATATTGGGAAAAAATGTGAAAATGTTTCTCACTGAAAAGAGATTAATATGAGTAAATCCTTATTAAACAATAAGTTGTATTTTGGAAGTTCCAGAATTTTTTAAAAAAATTTTCCGGGGTGCCTGGGTGGATCAGTCGGTTAAGCGTTTGACTTCAGCTCATGTCATGATCTCACAGCTCGTGAGTTTGAGCCCCGCGTTGGGCTCTATGCTTTCAGCTCAGAGCCTGGAGCCTGCTTCGAATTCTGTGTCTCCCTCTCGTTCTGCCCCTCCCTTGCTCGTGCTCTCTCTCTCATAAATGATTAAATGTTAAAAAAAATTTTTTAATGTTTTTCCATTTTACTCAATATTAAGAGTGGTTGCAAGCCAAGCCCACAAATTAGTTAGCTCCTAAGTAACTGAAGTAGCTATCTTGTGATGACATAACACATTTTTAAAGTCAGTTTGGCATTCTGAAAGATCCTCGTGACTATCTCCATGGGGTTTTTAAAAATCTGATTTGCAGTTCTGGGTTGGAATCTCTATTCACTCCCACGTGAGGTAGTAAAGGAGAATAAGGGGTTTTCCCCCAGTTGGAGAATTTTTATCCTTTCACGGACATGACTGTTCATCATCTCCCGTCTGAGGAGAATCACAGGCCCTAGTGTTGTCACAAAGGAATGCTGAAGATGCCCTACTTTCGTTCTGTGCCACCAGGTACACGGTTTTGTCGTGCTGTCAGAATGGAAAACCTTCCTGAACCAAACACATTCACACTCGTTTAGCGAGCTGGATATTTAAAGGTACCCTGTGGTGAGCGAACCCTTTTGCAGGGCAGACGCCTCTCGAAGGTGCTGTCTGGGTAATAAGAAATCTCTTGGGGCTTTAAAAAGCCACTAATGCTTTTCTTCCTGCGCTTGCCCCCACCGATCTGAGTAAGTGTGATTAGCACAGTGGTCCCTCCTCCACGAGAATCGCTTGTCTCTGAGCAGCCGATGGCCCCAGCCTTGCTGCACAGCGGGGCGGGGCACCCCCAGTTACCTTCCACTTGCTGGTGCCAGCTACTTCCCTGAAGTCTGGCGGATGGCTCAGACTGCCACCTGGCTTCACATTAAATTCCACTCAACGGTTATCGCCTGTTTGGCATCAAAGTTAGGTTGAGAACTAAAAATAAAACGAAGGCATTGTAATCCGTGATTTCTCATGTCCTTTCCAGCTGATGAGTCTAGGAAAGGAGCATAGTGTGAGAAGTATTGTAGTCTTTGATGGGGAGTTACATAATCAGTTGCTGTGTATAAAAATTATAGTAATTAAGAACCTGGAGGAAGTTGATGGAGGACAAAGTGGGAGAAAAAGGCGAAAAATAGTTGGGGAGAGGGAGGGAGGCAAACCCTGAGAAACTCTTGAATGCTGAGAACAAACTGAGGGCTGATGGGGGTGGGGGAAGGGAAGGGGAGAGATGGGCATGGAGGAGGGCACTTGTGGGGATGAGCACTGGGTGTTATATGGAAACCAACTTGACAATAAACTACAAAAAAAATAACGCAAAGATTAGGACAATAGTTAAGTTGTATATAGATAGGTTAGGAGTCATTCTGTCTGGCTCACAAGAGGACGAATGTTTTTTGAGCTGGTTAATAAGTTGTTTGTGTAAAAAAAAAAAAAAAAAAAGAGCCTGGTTTCACATTCTGAGTCCATTGCTTATCTGCATAACACTTACTGAGAAAATAATTTAATTACTCTGAACCCAACTCAGAGGGTTGTTGCCAAGTCTAAAGGTAATCATCCCATTAAAGCGTATGAACATGGGGGCACCTGGGTGGCTCAGTCGGTTAAGCGTCTGACTTCGGCTCAGGTCATGATCTCATGGTTCGTGGGTTCAAACCCAATGTCGGGCTCTGTGCTGACAGCTCAGAGCCTGGAGCCTACTTCAGATTCTGTATTTCCCTCTCTCTCTGATCCTCCCCTGCTCACACTGTCTCTCTCTCTCTCTTTCTCTCTCTCTCAGAAATAAATTTACAAATTTTTTTAAAAAAGCATATGAACATAGTATATAGTGTATAATCTGCTAATTCCTAGTTGTTTTTATCATTTTCATTACTAATAGTATTATTATTTTGAAAGCTTATGCCTAGGAAAATATTACTAGAACAGGTAAATAAAGAGAAGTAAACAAATTCTGGTTTTTAATGAACTCCCTCCCCCACCCCCTGCCCGGCCTGTCCCCTCTGCAGAATGTGATAAACTGAGGCGGGATGGCTACCGAAGTTCGCAGTACTATTCTCAGGGGCCCACCTTTGCAGCCAACACCAGCCCACTCTGCGACGATTATCAAGACGAAGATGAAGAAACAGATCAAAAGGTAAGGCTTCCCAGTTCAACACGGGGACCCAGATTGCGTCCTGGAACAGGAAAACGACATCAGTTGAAAAACTGGTGAAGTCAGAATAAAATATGGTTTCAGTTAATAGTGTTATCTCAACTTAATTTCTTAATTTTGGCCAAGGTACCATGATTATTTAATGTGTTAACATTATGGGCAGCTGGGTAAAAGGTTCACCAGGCATTCTCAGTGCTATCATTGCAACTATTCTGCAAGTCAAAATTAGTCTAAAATTTAAGAAAAAAAAAAAAGGTAAGGTTAGGATTCAAGGAATTCATTAAAGGGTCACAATCAGTAAGTATATTCTATGCATTTTGTATATTCTCTCTTGGGTAGAAAAAATGAAGGTCTTATTTTTGTTGTTGTTGTTTTCATATGACCAAGAACCCACTCGGATTCTAAAACAAGAGCTCTAAGTATAACAGTCAAAAGTCACTGTTTCAGAGGGGGCCATTGTTTCTCGGAAAGATCGAACAGAAGCAGCACATTGACTTAATATTATCAAACTGGTCAGTTCATTTTAGAGACATTGGGTCATATCGGCAGTCCTTTTTCTCACGCCATCTCTTATAATATGTGCAGACTTCTTAAGGCAAATATACTTTCTCAGTAATAGATGCCCATGAGAAGATAAAAATATAGGGAGATTTTGACTTACCTGGTTTTTAAAAATTCATTTTATTTAGTACCATGGACTTAACAGTTTGATGGACACGGGTTGGTTTAGAAACCATTTTTTAATCTAAGAAATTTCAGTGGGATTAGGTCAATACATAAATGCATTACTGTTTAGAGAACATTAGTCCAACTTTATTGTCCCTCCCCACATAAATAACCTCAGAGAAAAGGGTGGATAACAGTTGATCCAAAATGGGAAATTTACTGCCATAATTTTTTAGTCTTCTAATAAAAACCCAGGTTTTTATTTGAGAACATTTTTCTTATTTCTTTAAAAGTATGTTCCCACAGCGTCTGAGTGGCTCAGTTGGTTGGCCGTCTGACTTCGGCTCAGGTCATGATCTCACAGTATGTGAGTTTGAGCCCCACATTGGGCTCTGTGCTGACAGCTCAGAGCCTGGAGCCTGCTTTGGATTCTGTGTCTCCTGCTCTCTCTCTGCCCTTCCCCGACTCATGCTATGTCTCTGTCTGTTTCAAAAATGAATAAACATTAAAAAAAAAAGTATGTTCCCATATTAGCTTAGTCCTCTGGGACTCAAAAATACACAATACTGTATTAAATACTGTAACAGAAAAAACAGCTACTTCAAAATTGATCGGGCTTTTAATTTTACAGCGTTTATTTTTTGCTCATTGATATGAGTAAGGAAAATAGAAATCAAAGATGAGTTATATGGTGAGGATTGTGTCCTCTTCTTATTTTTAATTGTTTTTCAGCCTTATTGAAATTATAACTGACAAATAAAATCGTACATATTTAAAGTGTGATGACTTGGCATGCGAATACTTTGTGAAATGGCCATCACAGTCAGGTTGATTAACAGCATATCCAGGGCTCCTGGGTGGCTCAGTCGGTTGAGTGTCCAACTTCAGCTCAGGTCATGATCTCACGGTTCGTGGGTTCGAGCCCCACATCAGGCTCTGTGCTGACAGCTAGCTCAGAGCCTGGAGCCTTCTTTCGAGTCTATGTCTCCATCTCTCTCTGACCCTCCCTTGCTCACGCTGTCACTGTCTCTCTCTCTCTCTCTCAGAAATAATTAAAACATTTAAAAAAAAAAAAAACCCATATCCAGCATCTCACATACTTGCCTTTCTTCTGCACGCTGCACAAGTGCTTACATTTTACACTCTTAGCCAATTTTAAGTACTTATTATTATTATGATATACTTATTAACTGTATTATTATTATTAACTATAGTCACCATGCTGTATGCATGGGATTCCTAGCACTATAACTTACAGCTTTGTTGTATAACAAAAAGGCTTGTACCCTTTTGGACCAGCATCTCCCCAAATTTCCCACCCGTGAGATTTTTCTTATTTTATCCAGATACACTTCGACCTTTAACTGATGTTTAGAGGAGGAAAACCGAGTTTATAATGGGACCCAGTGGGACAGGGGTGGTTTAGATGCAGCATGATTATAGGAGTTGTGACTGTCTGGGTGTGCAGAGTCCCCTGGTGGCAGAGTGACATTATGAGAGGACATCCGCAGGACTTCTGGAACTTGGAATTGTAGTTGTTAAATTCTCACATAGCTGTGAGCTTATGATGCTCAGATCTGAGGGAAGGTTCAATCTCTAGGGACTAGTTTCTACTCCTATGTGAATTGCCACGGATCCCTCCAAGCCATCCTCTCGGAAATGTGTGGAAAAAGCAAAAATCCTCGTCCCTGAGAAAATACAGCTCCTGTCATGTTGAAAATCAGTCAGCAAGTAATGGTAACATGTAAGAATATATACAGAAATGTCTTCCTTTACATGATCAGACGCAACGTATGACAGCCTGTTAAGCAGAAGAAGGACCATAGTGGGACTTGGTAGCGCTGATGTCCACTAGGACGAAAACCAGAGTTGATTGTGGAACCTCCGGTCTCCTCTTGGGGCCAACTGCTTCTCCTGTAAAATGGAGCCATGGGAGCAGGGGAGGAGCCTTCGCTGGTGTGGGTGGTGGGAGGGTGAACAGTTTCCTGGGCTCCCTGGAAACCCTCTGAACTCAATCACAATGTCTGAATTCATGGTCTTCCTATATTTGGACTCTCATAAAAGTGCATAGTTGCACTTACTTTCCTTTACTGCTATGTGTCCTTGGTTAAAAATGTTTTGAGGGGCGCCTGGGTGGCTCAGTTGGTTAAGCATCCGACTCCAGCTCAGTCATGATGTTACAGTTTGTGATTTCGAGCCTCGCATCAGGTTTTGTGCTGACAGCTCAGAGCCTGGATGCTGCTTTGGATTCCGTGTCTCCTTCTCTCTCTGCCCCTCCCTCCTTCATGCTCTGTCTCTCTCTGACTCTCTCTCAAAAATGAACATTAAAAAATTTTTTTCAAATAAAAAATGGAACATTTCTTCCTTAAATATTTAGAAGCAGGTTGAATTATGTTCAGAAATTTTTAAATCATTAGGTCTGAATGTCTTCTCAACATAAGGAATTTTTTCAGAATAAAATAAATATCAAATTATATAATGTATTCATTATAAATGAGTCTATATTAAAACATCAACTAACAAATTATACTGTCACGTTAACTAACTTCCTCCTTCTTTACCTCCCACCCTCCCGTCCTTTTCTCAGCTGGGCTGTATCATTCAGTGTTGCATTAACTTCTACAATTTCTTGGCTCCATGGAGCATCAAAAACCCTATTTGCCATCTCACTATTGCACATCCAATTTGATGGTCTTGGAGAACATTCACCATCTTTTTGTTTATTCATAGTTACTAGATTAATTACAGTGTTCTCTATCAGACCCTATGCTTTTTTGTTGCTTTTTAAAAAATTATATATGTCAGCAAGACCTAGGGCTGCCCTCAGTGGCAAAAGGCCTGAAATTGATGTGGAAATTAACCTTTGTTTGTTCTTGTACTTTCTCTCCCACTTCCTGTGGGTCCTTTACCCTAACTAGTGCAGCAATATCTTCAAGTCAACGCAAGGGTTTCACTTGTGTGCACCCCATGCAGTTCCTCATGCACGATGGGCTACGCACCTGGCTCATTTATTCCACAGTCATTTCCTGAACAGTTACTCGCCCTGAGTAAATACTCACCCTGAATCAGGAGTTGTTATCAATCTTTGTGACCCCTTCACTGCTCACTGTATCATCATGATGCTCTGATGTCTCTGTGTTGTGTGGCCATCAGTGGTAGCCATTTGCACAAATTCCTTTATCCTTCCTTAATGTGTTCCTAAACAGAGCTACTTAAGCACAGAATTATAATTAGTTTTCAGGTTATGTATTTATTAAACATGGCCTGTGTCCCCGGGACTGCTCTGGGTGCCGAAGATGTAACAGTGAAGCTAACAGAAAAAATCCTTGCCTTCGATCAGGGTGGATTTGATAGTGAGACACCAAGAGTAGAAAAGCAGTGATGCTGTATTAGAAAGTGTTATATACTCTGGAGGAAAGTAACGCTGGATGAGATAGAGGGGAGTTGCCATTTTTAACTAAAAGGGTAGGCCTTCTTGGGCAACGTAGTCATTGGGGTTAGAAGAGTGAGCCAGGCAGAAATCGTAGAGAACATTTCAGGAAGTAGAGTAGTCAGTGCAATAAATGTTTCTTAAGAGTATATGCTGTATACCAGGTACTGCAGAATGGAAAGATTAATAAGTATCTGTACTTGTCTCAAGGAAGTTATAGCTGTCTGGTAGGGAGAACTAACCAGAATAAAAAGGTATATGTATGTATATATTTTATATATCTATATGTATGTATGTATATGTCTACAGTAAGTGTTTTTCATACAGTAACACGTGAAAGAGAAATTCTAACTTGGGCAGTTGGGAAATGGGGGGGGAGTGGGGAGACATGTAAGAGGTAAGAGGAGTCATAGGGCTCTTGCAACAGGCAAGACATACCAAGGACTTAGACAAAAGAATGACTGTGTGAATGGCAAGGAAGGGGAAGACTTTCAGAGATGAAATTAATTAGAGGGTGGCATTCTGGGAATTAGACAAATTTCAGATCTTAGCTCTGCTACTTTTTAAAAAAAATTCTTATTTGTTTTTGGGAGAGAGAGACAGCGTGAGCAGGGGAGGATCAGAGAAAGAGGGAGACACAAAATCCGAAGACAGCTCTGATACTTGTTAGGTTTCTTGGGGTGTGTCATTTGGGCCTTCCAGGCATTAATTTCCATATCTGGAAAATGGGGAGTGGAATACTATTGTTCTCTGAGTTCTCTGAATTTTAAAAAGACTGTTCTGGCCCCTGGGTGGCTCAGTTGGTTGAGCATCTGACTTTGGCTCTGTTCATGATCTCGCGGTTTGTGAGTTCGAGTCTCACATTGGGCTCATTGCTGTCCGTGCA